TACAATTTGTCTTTGTGAGTTGTAGGGTTTTTAAAAGCATGTCAAACACATGGTCTCAACTGTTAAGACTATTTCCTTCTCACTGATCTCCTGTGTCTCTGACAGCTGCTTACAGCAAGGTTGTACAGCTGGCCTCATATGTACACTGATGGATCACAGAAACGTGACATACTGTGGGAAAAGTGACTGCCTATGTTATGTAGTGGACGAAGACAGGGAAGGAAGGTGTACTTGTATAGTTCACACAGTTTTGGCTCAATCTATGATGTGGAGCCCAATGGATGGGAGGATAGTGATTAAAGTGACAATCCCAGGAAGATGACCTTCAGGTTATTATAGATTGTTGAGGACTTGTGTGTCTGCCTGCCTATCTGTCTGTCTATCTGGTTTTTCCCAACAAATACTAAAAAACTGATATAGTGTCTTGGGAGGCTGAGGTAGAAGGACCCTGAGTTTGAGGCTAGCCTAAGCTACATAGTGAGATTTAAAAACAAAATAGAATAGGTGTCCTTCCCAAATGAGGCTGTTCTAATAAGACAAGGAGTGGTCATATACTCAACTTCAGGAAGAGGCATCAGTCATACTTGCATGTCAATTCGAGTGCTATCAACAGTTTCTCATGTTTTGGTTGCTTTCTTTTTTTGAGACAGGACCTTACATATCTCAAGTAACCTCCAACTTGACTGACTATATAGCTTAAGATGATCTTGAACTTTTAAAATTAGGGGTGTATATGTGAACATGTGTGCCCCAGTACATATGAGAGCAAACAGAGTCAGTTCTTTTTGTAATTCAGGTCCTAGGAACTGAACTCGGGTGGTTTTGCAGCCAGTCCCTTTACACACTCAGCCAGGTCAGGCTGAAATTTTGATTGTCACAACCCTACAAAAGTTCTGGGGGCTGGAGAGATGGCTCAGCGGTGAAGAGCACTGGCTGCTCTTCCAGAGGTTCCGGGTTCAATTCCCAGCAACCACATGATGGCTCCTAGCCATCTATAGTGGGATCTATGCCCTCCTCTGGCCTGCAGGTGTACATGCAGACAGAGCTTGTATACCTCCTCCACAAAAGAGGGCCAGGGTGGTGGTGGTGCCAGCAGAGGCAGGAGGATCTCTGTGAGTTGGAGGTCAGCCTGATCTACAGAGTGAGTTCTAGGACAGGCTCCAAAGC